TGCATAGTTTTTCCATTTCTGACAGTCTTCATTTCTTTGTATAACTCTAAAGTGCTATCTGCTATTATTCTTCCTCTCTATAAAGAATTTTCTTTAGATTGTTTCATGTTTAAATGTTATTTCAGTGGTATTAGTTACATTCATATTAAACACTAACTCCCCATTCCTCTCTTCTCCTAACCCCTGACAACCACCATTGTACTTTCTGATTCTTTTTTTTTTTTTTTTTTGGTACCAAGGATTGGACCCAGTAATGCTTAACCTCTGAGTCATATCCCCAGCCCTATTTTGTATTTTATTTAGAGACAGAGGTCGCTTAGCACCTCGCTTTTGCTGAGGCTGGCTTTTGAACTCACAATCCTCCTGCCTCAGCCTCAGGAGCTGCTGAGATTATAGGCGTGACTGTGCCTGGTCCTGCTTTCTGAATTTGATTACTGTAAGCACCTCACATGAAGTGGAATCATAAAGTACTTGGTGTTTTACTGGCTTATCATTTTACTTAATGTAATGTTTTCAAGGTTCATTTTGAACTGGCACAGATCCAAATTTCTTTCCTTAAAAGCCATTTTATATACACAGTATATTTTGTTCATCCACACATCTGATGGTAAATACATGGATTGTTTCTACCTTTTGTTATTGTGAATGGTGTTGCCAGGAATGCACATATATCTCTGAATTCCTACTTTTAAATCTTTTGGAAATGTCCCCAGTGGTGGAATTGCTGAAGAACCTGGTTGCCCAGGTATGGTTCACCATTTTGCATTCCTGTCAACAGTGTGTGTGAGGGTTCTAATTTCTTCCCATCCATACCAGTGCTTGTTATTTTGTAATTTTTTAGATTAAAGAAGAATATCCTGGTGGATATGTCACCTTCATTTTTGAAACATAATTCTGCTAGGTGTAAACTTTTGAGTTAAGGGTCTTTTGTTTCCAAACTTTTAAAGATAACATCCACTGTCCTCTGGCTTGCAAAATGTCTGCTGCTATTATTAATCTTTGTTCCCCTGTGTATGCTTTTACCCCTTCTTGTTTTCTTCAAGATTTTCTCTATTAGCAATTTGACTATTAATTACCTAGGATTTCTCCCCCACTTCATTATATTTATCCTGTTTGGATTTTTCTTGGCTTCTTGTTTATTGTCTTTAACCATAATTTTGGAAAATTTCCAGAATTATTAACTGTATCTACTTTGTGTGTTTTCTCTTTGAGATTCAAGTTATAGTGTTAGACTGGATTATCTGAACATGTTAGATGCTCTGTTCTTTTGGTGCACCGTTTTTTTCTTCCTTATGCTTCGGTTTGGATAATTTTTATTTATGTAACTTGAAATTTAGATTCTTTTCTCTGCTATGTTTAGTCTATAAAAGTTGACCAAAAAAATATTATTTATGTTGATAGCATGTGTTTTTCTCCCTGGATTTCCACTTGGATGTTTTTCATAGTTTCCATCTCTGCTGATCTTCCCCGTCTGTTCATGCACTTGGTGACACATTCTGTCCTATACACTCCCGTGCCCTGACAGTGGGTAATCGTTTCCTGTGTTGGTCTCCTCAGAGCAGATTATCTGCCTTAGGCATTCAGTTCATCTCTTGGCTTTGTACCCTCAGCTCCCTAAACGGTTCAGAAAAGTTAGGGTTTTGTAATTTATCCTGCTTTTTTCTCCACCCTGTTAGGGTGGGAATGACTTTCTTGCAGCTTTCTACACTGTGACTAAAAGCAGGAGTGATAAGTCAGTTTGTATTCAGACTTTCAGCATTTCATATGAAGACAGACTGACTGCTGTTTAAAGGTAAAGGAACCAAATGGAAGGCCATTCGGGAGAAAGGGATACCTTTTGAAAAGAAAAATTATAAAATAGACATTATTATTGCTGTGGGTATATATGTGACTGCATGACCAATGTAATTCTGCAATCTGTACACTTGGAAAAATGAGAAATTATATCCTATCTGATTCAAATGTATGATATGTCAAGATCATTGTACTGTCATGTGTAACCAATTAAAACAAAAAAAAACCCAAAAAAATTAACTATGGAAGCAGCCCTCATATCTCCAATCATACTTTCTTAGTCATAAATAATTTTCCTGTTTTCTTTCTGAGACAAGAAGCAGTAGTATTTCAATGGAGTTACGGATTAACTTAGTATCTTTACATAGTTTGATAAATTAAGGATTTTCTCATGAGTCTTCAGAGAACCCACATTATCTGAATTCCTCTTTCTTATATAAGGTTATATAATATCTGTAAAGTTTGTTCCATGTTTTACTTTTTTAACAACAATATGCCAACGAAAACATTTGTTTTTCATTATTAGTACATCATTACAAACTGTTTCCTATTCAGTAAATGTCATTAGTGTACAAAATTTCTATAATAATGACAAGTTAAAAACAGAAGAACTTGAGGAGAATCTCCTTTGTACATGTTAGAATTGAGATGCCTGTTAGCCATGTAGGTAGAAATAGCACATGAGACGTTAGATGTACAAGTCTGAAGATGCAAATAGCTTAGGATAGAAATAGTATTTGGAGGATTCAGCATCATATAAATGGTATCAAAACCATGAAACCAAAAGTTTCTGTTTGGGTGATGCCAACATTAAAAGGAGGGGACTGAGTGAGTAGATAGTGAAGAAACCCACGAGAGAATGGTGACACAGGAAGTAGTAAGTGAAAGTGTTTCAAAGTGAAGAAATTGATCAACTCAAGAATGCTTACAAGTGTTGGAATACGGTGAGGACAGAACTCCAGGTGAGAACTGTGGGCTTAGCCAGTAGATTTAGGAGTCATCAGCAGCTAGGTGGCTGTAGAGTTTCACTCTATGCTTACAGAGAGAAGGTGAAGTGAGAAAGAGACTGGGGGAGCTGTGCAAGGAAGTGGAATGAACTCGTAAAACATGTGCATGTATTTTGAGTTTTTCAGGCCAAATCTTTTGTGTGGTGTTACTATTAAAAGTCTCTGAACACTGAAAATTTATTTATATTTCTACTCCTAGAGGGGTTTTAAACAAACAAACCAGAATGTTCGTATGTTTCTGGGTATCCGAATTAGAAGAGCTATACTCTCGTGGAGCCAACATTTACTATGACAGTTTGTCAGTATTTCAGTTCCTGGCAGTTAATCTCTTTATAAAATCTCCAGCATACTTGAAAAGAACGATTGTTCATATAAAATTCCATGATACTATAGTAAGAGGATATGTGTGTCTTACTACATACCATTGACTAGATCTTTTTCTAGAATCTCTTGCAAGAAAGAATTGGGTGTGGTTTATGTTTTCCAACATCTTCATACCATTGCAAAAGCAGAGGTATAAAGCAAATACTTTAGCTCTGATCAGTTCTGTGGAAAGGGAGGGGACCCCAGCTTTATCTTAAAATCATTATGTATACTGGGAGGAAATAAATTCAAATGGATTCTCCATAAATCTAGACAGAGAACCTCATTTTATTCATTGCACTAGGACCTATGCCAACATTGCTTCATCTTTGGCATTTGCCATATCCTGTCGTGTTGAGTTTAAAAGAAGCTCTTGTTTAATATTGTGGCCATCCTAAATTCTTTTTACCCCCATTAGTAAGAAGTAATTTTTGAACATACCCTATAAATACATATAATTGTTTGCCTAAAGCATTTACATATACTGCTCTTCTACTATAGTTAATATATTACAAAGCATGCACAGAATAAGGACATTTGAAGAGAAAGAGGGAAAAAAAAGAATCATCTTGTAAACTTCCTGGTTACAAACAACACAGAGAGAACGTTTGTCTTTTTAGAGATATGGAAGTTGGTTCCTTTCTTTCTAATTATAGTCGTTATATATCCTTAAACTTCTCGTGCATAATATCCAAGTACTTTTAAAAAATTGTAATAAAGATCCAGAAATGATATTATATGTGTATGTGGCCGGGGGAAGGGGGGTGCTGGGAATTGAATCAAAAGTTTTGAGCATACTAGGCTTATATTGATCTATCTTTAAGATACACCCTCAGTCCCTAGAAGTGAGCTTTTACATTTATTCTTTATCTAGGAATCGTATAAACATAAGTTTTTCTCATTAGGGGAAATTTACATCTATGATATTTTTTATCATTGTCAGAGCAGTTCATAATTTACAAGTTTGACATTGTAAAGATCAGTGGTAAAAGTTTTAATGTGAATACTAATTTTAATGTTTATTTTTCTTTCAGATGACATTAAAGTGTCAGTAAATGACTTTATCATCAAGGCAGCAGCTGTTACTCTTAAAGTAAGTGACAAACCCCAAAATAATTTTGGCTTCTAAAATAGTCTCATGTCATGAGATTTTTATAAAAAAAAGAATAAAACTCATTTTTAAGTAACAAAAATTTTATGATTTTATTGCTAGAAATATCCTATTATTTAATCTCACTCCTTTGTTTTACAGATGAAGAAATTGAAAATTAAAGGGGCTCACAAACTAATATTAGCAGTTTAAAGACCATTTAATCAACAAACACTAATTGAAGAACCGGGTATGGTGGTGCACACCTATAATCCCAGCTACTTGGGAGGCTGAGGCAGGAGGATCACAAGTTCAAGGCCAGGCTCAGCAACTTAGCAAGGCCCTAAAAAACTTAGTGACACCCTATCTTAAAATAAATATGGCTCAGTGGTTAAAGGGTCCTGGGTTAAAAAAACAAATACTAATTGAACCACTGTCTTATGCTAAATATATTTTAAGCATTTAAGCATTAGAGAGTAATGAACAAAAGCCTATGTAGTTTCTGCTCTCATGGGTATGATATTCTAGAGGGGGTCCAGTAAACATGTCAGGTGGTGAAAATGTTAAGGAGAAAAAGAAAGCAGGATAAAGAGCCAAAATACTAGGTGCTGTTTTTTAAGAGTTAAGGAAAGCCTCTCTGGCAAGGCTACAGATAACAGAGGCAGGAATCAACAAAAGAGGGGGAGTGAGCAAACTAGGTGTGTGGTGGAGGAGCAAACCAGAGGCTCCGAGGACTGTGTTGTGTTATCCAGAGTCACAGCCCTGAGGGTGTAGTGTGTCAAGAGTGGACAGAGTGGAGAGATTTTTAAAGAAGCAAAAAAGAAGGATTCAAAGGGAAACCAAAGGCCTCTTTGAGGCCTTCTCAGCCGTGGTGAAGACTAGTGCTTTTATTATGAATGAGAAAGATGCTTTTGGAAGTTTTAAGCAAAGGACTAATGTGATCAGACTTACTTTTAGAGGTGGGAGGCTGCTCTGGTCATGTGTGACTATAGCCAGTGAGGAGGCTGCAGAAGATGACCGTGGCTCCGACTTGGGGTAGCAGTGGAGCTGCAGTGAAGGGAGGTTTTGGTTACATTTCAGAAGTAGAGCCAACGGCCCTTAATAATGGATTTGATATGGGACCTGGGAGAAAAAATAAGGAGTTCTTTTCAAGCAGTGGGATGGGTAGACTTACTCCATTACTAAGACTGGGAAAACGGGGAGAGAAGCAAGTTTGAGGTAGGGAGTCTCTAGTTTGCTTTTGGGTGTGTTAAGTTTGAGGAGCCTAATAGGTGTTGCAGTTTGGCTAGCAGGAAGACAGGTGGAGTGGAGGTGGCTGGCTGGAGATGTAATCTAGAGCCCAGCTTCCTGCCTTCCCACTCAATGCCATTTTCCATCCTGCCTTCTCTCTGTAATGAGGCTGTTTTCTAAGTTGCTACTTGTTTAATAACATATTTGAATTGCACTTAAAATGGATTCATTTTTATTTCTCAAAAAATACAATAATGGAGAACTTTGAAGGCAAGCCTTTTCAACATTTTTTTTGATGTCATATGGCTTTTCTCTTAACCAAATATTTTGAACTATAGTAATGACTTTTCTAATCACAAATCATTTTTATACTCCCTAAAAATGACTCTCTAGTGGTCATTAGCTGTTTGCTAAGTTTCTTTTGTATATCAGAAACTATAAGTAATTATGATTTAAATTTTATACTAGCTTTGTCAGGTCTTTCTTTTATTTGTTTTCTCTGTGCTCATTTCAATAAGGATTTTTATTTCTTAAAGTTTTATAGAACTCACCAGTGAAATTTTGAACCTAGTTCTGTTTTGAGGAGGGCATCCTGGCTGTTTTTCTATGTTTTTCCCCTATAGTTATTGATCTCTTTAACTTTTAATTTTATCTTAAACCAATTATGAAAACTTGTATGTTCCCAGAAAAATCAACTTTTGCATCTATATTCTCAAACTTATTAGCTTAGCATCATTTAAATTTATTTCTTATAATTATTTAAATGTTCTCATTGTCCGAAGCTATTTGAAACTCTGTATTGTTTCTATAATTGCATGTTTTGTGTTTTCAGTTTATTTTATTTTGCAATTTTTCCTTTATTTTCTTAGACTCATTTGGTTAGAAATATTTGGTTAGAAAACTGAATGTATAATTCATTTTAATTCTATTTTTATTAACAAGGCTTAAGATTATAATAAATTTTGCTTTGGATGCAACTTAGACCGTGTCCCATGGTTTTTTATTACATAATTTCCTAATTGAATTTATTTGCCAGATAGTCTTCATTTGTGAGGGGTTTTTGGTTTGGCTTGGGTTTTAGTTTTACTTTAGTGTTGTCAGAATTTAAAAATCTTACAGGGGTTTGAACCTCATTTTTTATTTTGACATTATCTCATTGTTGATTGAATGAATGACCTGAGCCTTAAAAGATGGAGAAATGTAAAGAGCAATGAAGAAATGATGTGAAGGCCATCCTGAAAAGTGCACAAGCCCAGCATGGCAGTGAGAGGTTGGACCAAGAGAGAATTCATCTTAGGGAAGTCATTACAAATAAAATGACATCAGTACTGTGGAATCAAAATTGTGCACCACCGTTCTTAAATGGCATAGTGAACAGCTTGGATCTTATTCTGTAGAAAGCAAAGAGTTTTGGGGATGAGGGCTGGGGTTGTGGCTCACTGGCACAGCACTTACTGACATGTATGGGGCCCTGGGTTTGATTCTCAGCACCACATATAAATAACTAAAATAAATATCTGTTGACAACTAAAAATACATTTAAAAAAAAAGAATTTTGGGAATGAGAAATTAGCTTTTTATGTCTATTTTCATTTCTCTCTCATCTTGTGATATTTGACACAATGCACTATTTCCATGCATATAGTCATCCCATCTGTTTTTCCCTCCATCTTTCAATATAGTTGTTTGTATGTTAAATGTGTACATGCTCATATGTAGTATGTATCTTATGAAGCTTGGGAAACCTCTTTAAATTGGGTAGTCATTTATTGAGGGTTTGCTAATATATACTCCAGAGCTGTGCTAAAAAGTCAGGCTTCCTTTATGCCAAAGGAATGTAGTTGAATATCACTAACCCTTTCTGCTCCCTTCTCCCCCTCAAGGTCATATTGCATATCATGAGGCAGGAAGCATAATGATCATTAACTGTCTTCTGGCAATTAGTTTTAATAAAGGAAACCCTTTTTTAGCCATGATGTAAAAAGATCAGAACATACACCATCAGGATTTCCTCAAGCTTGCTTCAAAAAATATGTGTTTAAAAAAATTATTTTTCTTAAACATAAATAATAAACAACATAGAGATTGGAACCATGTTATGTATTTTCTTCTATCCAACTATATTCACTTTGGAAAATAGATAAAATGTTAATTATTTTTCTGTAACCACCTCAGTCTAAAGTTTTAATAACATGTTTTTTTCTGCTTCCAGCAAGTGCCAGGAGTAAATGTAAGCTGGGATGGAGAGGGCCCGAAGCAACTGCCCTCTATTGACATTTCAGTGGCTGTGGCAACAGATAAAGGTTTGATTACACCAATCATAAAAGATGCTGCTGCTAAAGGTATACAGGAAATTGCTGACTCTGTAAAGGTATGTCATAACAAATACTATGCTTTCAAATTGTTAGCAGATCCTTTCATTTAATTCCTTTCCAATAAAGTCTTAACATTCTGGTTACACCGTAATTTGTGGGGGAGGGGATATTTCAAATGATTCTCATCTGTGTATTATAAATGTTTTAAGTGTTTATTCAGATATGACCCAATTTAAGAAAATTTAATAATCAAAAACTCAGAAGTGAAATATAGATAAATAAGAAGGCTACTTTATTAAAAAGTTCCAGATACAAGCTTTATTTCACAGAATCCAGAATTCAATTCTAAAGATGCTGCTTAAGATAGTATTAGGTTATTTAAAGTTGAAATAAAGCTGAAACTACATTTCTATGAAATAATCATAGCCAGACCTCAGTATTAACAATATTCCATTCGTAAAGTTTATTTTATTCATTTCCTCTTTAAAATTGAGACCAGTAAAAGTACTTAGCATTCCAGAAGCAAGGTACTTTGTTTTTCCTATATCTTGAAAAGCAGTTTTCTTTTTTAGCTTCAATATGGAGGAATCTGATTTCACTAAAAATCTTGTTGAATAAGCAGGAATACAGGCAGTAGGTCAGCCTTTACAGCCTCAGTAATTTGCAAGGGTATTTCTTGGCCGAAGTATCATAGGTCTTGAAGTGTATATATTGAAATCTTCAGGTTCATTTGAGTAGCTGATTTATTTTCTTTTTCCATCTAGTAAGGACCTATTATATGTTTAGTGGTAGAACAAGTTATAA